TACAGCATGTTCATTCAGGCAGCTTCATGTCTTGTAGCAGTGCCTGGTTGTTGGGGAAAAATACATCAACAGAAATTGCAACTGAGGCTGCAATAAACTTTGGAATCAAAGAGAAGGAATGTAGATTTTAGATCTGATGAGAAGACCAAAAAATGGTATTACTGGTTCCTAGTTAGCATCTAGTGTAATTGATTTCATTCATGAAAGTGCTTTTTGTCATTAATTATGTTATGTAGTTATGTATCATGTTGTAGTGGCATCATACTTGAAAAATATTTGTGTTAAACCTCTTTATTTTTGTAAACAGATGAATGTTTTTTTAAGGGGCTGAGGCATAAATCATTACCTTTTTTAGGAGGAAGATGCAGCTTGACTAAGATATAGGGGTAGTTATCTGAAATGGTTTAACTTTCACGTCTAGAAAATAACTACATGGATATATAACCTCAGAGTTTTAAATATTTTTTAGATCACACTACTGTTAGGAAGTCTGATGACTTTAAAGTCTATAATGAAATATTTCTAAATACATATAATGTGATATGGCTTTTAAAAAGCCAGAATCAATAAGGAATTGAAAAATACATTGCTGTAGATTTTAAACTTTCATTTGTCTTATAAAGTTAATATTATGTCGTTTTAAATGGTTAAGCTGTTCTGTTTCATTATGAATTCTGATTGCATTTCAGACTCCATGAGCTAATTAAGATCAGGAACATGTGCGGAGATAACCAAATCATCAAGAGTCTGCTCCTGGACATTGATTTCAGGTAATTTTTATTGAGTGTGTGCAGAATTTATCAGTTATATATATATAACATTACTTTATTAATCCTTTACAATTTCTTGCATTAGGAATTCTTTCGCATACCGCAGCTTGCTCTCCATGAGACACACAGACACACAGATAGGGAGAGTCTGGGGTCAGAGCGCACGGTCAGCCATTGTACAGCGCCCCTGGAGCAGTTGGGGTTAAGGGCCTTGCTCAGGAGCCCAACGGAGTAGGATTCCTCTGCCGGCTGCGGGATTTGAACCGGCAACCTTCCAGCCACAGGCGCAGATCCTTAGCCACAGAGCAGGACTGATAGAATAAAGCAAGGAAGTGGTATCAATCTGTCATTAGTTTAAAAGCATTACTATGATGAAATTATCATGATTACATATAATATCAGATTCTACACTTTCTACTGTATGTAAATATGTTTTTTTCAAACCATTAACTGCATAATAAAACAAAACAAGCTAATTATTTGTAATGATTATAAAAAGCAACAGGTAATTAATTTTTCCAAAGGAACCCTTATCAAGCATGCTTTGAAAATGTTCACATATTTTTCACAAATGTATTAAGATTACACTTTCAGAAGGTTGAAATTAATTTGCAGTAATATTCTACTGAAGTGTTTGAGTTAATATTCAAGTACATAAGAGTTCACTATCATTATTTTTTTTCAATGGGATGTAATACTGTATGTCATTGGTTTCTAAAAGCACTAAGGGTACTTTAAAGGATGTGTTTCTGAATTTCCATTCCATTAAATAGGTTATAAAATGTTCTGAAAATATCTGAAGTAAATAGTTGTGGTGTTCCCAATAGCAGTGAACTGGAATAAAATACTATGTGTGGAAAGGAAGTGAAAGTTAAACACAAAGAATATTTTTTTCAGTTAGATTCTTAGTTTTGATCATGCTTTGTGATCTATAATACATTAAATTGTTTCTTAAATGATTAATATTTGGAAATGAGTTTAAAATCAGCTTATCCCATGAACCACCTCTAATAGCTTGGAAATGTCTTGGAAAGTTTTAAAGATCATTGTGGCATATTTCCATGTGGTTAGGTTTGATTTGTCCAGTTTCTGGCTTAAAAAACCGGAACGCTGGAAAGACGGGCTCAGCGAACTGGTGATGCATTCGGTCAAGTACTGCCGTCAGGGCGCCAGAAAACTCCTGCAGGAGCTTCATGGTAACAGCGTTGTAAAAGGCAAGCTGTCCCTTTTGGCAATCCACCAGCATGCCCACTTTCCTAATGGCCACCTGGCTCTTCCCACAGCTGATGTAGTGGTCATTGTGCCAAGCGGACAGTTGGTTGTCCCTGAACTCGATGCACCAGGAGTGCCGGTTCCTTCCCAGCTTGGCGTTCTTCTGGTTTCCCTTGCGCTCGATGGACCCGTAGGCAATGCCCACACTCCAGGCAGAGCAGCAGCTCAAGTCCACTTCCCAGTAATGCCTTCCCTTGGACAGGCTGGCTGAGCCCAGGGCACAGCACACCTTGTCGAACTGCAGGGGGCTGTCTAGCAGAGGCTGTGGCTCACTGCTGTAGCACATACTTCTCTGATCCCTGGACACTGCGATGTTTCTGTGAGACGACTTACTGTCGATCGTCACTGCAGAAGAATCTGGTACAAATACGGATATAAGAAGGATATGACATTTTCAGGTTGGGATTAGGAAATCAAATGCATAATATTGACATAGATTATTTTCTGTTTATATTGAATGTTTTGAAGGTGAATGGAAAACAATCACATAATACTGTAAAATAATAATTCAAAATTATGTTTATAATTACAGCTATAACTTTGCTTTGATGTTTTTAGGTTAAACACGATGAAACAATTACCCAACAGGAGTACTTTTCTGTGCATCTGGGCTTCAAGATCCTTTGAAATGTTGTGTAGTATTTTCAAAAGTCTCTGAAATCTGTCCTCATTCATCTTTATCCCCTGCTCAGCAGCATCTTTTTTCTTAGGGCAGCTGGAAGAGTGTATGTCTTGAATTTTGGAATTGTTTTTTTTTAAGTCTGGATATACGTAGTGATTTTGCATTAAAAAGGGGACTGAAAGTTTAATGGACAACATAAACACATCTGCTCCAGCAACAGTACCTAATGCCATTATATTATCCAAAATCAGATCAGCTTTTTTTTTACCTTGGCAATACATCATAATATTGATTATCAATATTATGTCAATTCTTTTTGAACTGTAATACATTTATTCATATTCTCAACCATAGCATTTACTGAATTCTGAGGGAAGATGAGTCATGGTACTTTGCAGCTCATTTGTTACCTTTTTATCATTTATATGCTAAAATATATAGAGGTTTTGTCACACTGCTGTAGGTGGGATTTGTTCTTTTTATTCTCTCTAACCTAAGGAAATTTGCTTTATCTAGAACATAATCTAAATAATAATCCTTACTCTTAAAATTTTGATAAAGAAAAGAAAATACCTGCATTCCCCAGGATTATCCTGAAAGAGAAAAAACATTTAACAGCATTTTGAAAGTTAGTCATTTATATTCTGCGTAACACAGTGTGATACGGTAACATTACAATAATTGATCATAGTTTCAGAATAAAAACAGTTAATTTTGTAGTGCTCTACCTTGGTACTAAAGTATTTTAATGTAACTGAGAGTATAAGGGTTGCAAAACAGAGTTTTAAGAAGACATGGGAAGACCCTGAATTACCTGCAGTATGGAGCCTCCTCTGGTCTGATCTAGTGCCTTCTGTGTATTTGCCATGGCCCTCTGAACCTGGCCAAGATGCTGACTCCATTCCTTCATGATTTTGTTCAGCTTTGCACTGGTTACTCTTTGGTCTTCCTCAATGGTTTCTAGCATGGCCATCTCGTCTTTATGCAGAGCTTTTCTTATGGCTTCGTATTTTTCAGAAATCTGCTGCTTCATTGTGTCGGCAGTTACTGATAGATTAGCACTTCTTTTCTTTAAAGATTGTAAGTGGGCTTCAGTTCTTGCTTTTTCACTACGTAGGTCTTCAAGGTGTCTCGACAGTACCTCCTGTAATTGCCAATTGTTAAAATATAATCGTTAAAATAGTGTATTTATTGATCATTTTTAACCTCGCCTTACATATTTTTCCTAGTTGATACTTGGAAAGTTGCAACCTTTTTACAGTCTCTAAATACCAAGGGTTTTTTTCGTTGAAAACAAATTCACCTCTTATGCTCTGTTTTCTGGTTGTAGTTAATGCCCGTAACAATTTTTAATCGCTCCGTATTTTACCTCTGAGTTTCTGCCTTTTATGAAACTGCCTGGATGTATTCCCAGTCGCTCGAGCTTTGGGGAGTGTGGGGGTGGCTGGTTAGACACACGAGGGCCCTCTTGAGGTCGAAGGCAGTGTGGGTTGACCTCCGGCTTGTCCTTGAAGCGATCAGCATATGGGCCTTGGTGAGGGGGAGAAGAAACACAGGGGACCACTGAAGGTGCCAGGGACATTGTAGACTTTCCTTCAAGGTCTTGAACGGTAGAGTCCGTCTGCTGTGGTTCTGCCATTGTTGCTTGTTCTGGTTAATAGACAAACACAGGATTTGAAGAAGAATATTGTAGGTGTTAAATGAATTAAACGAAATGAAACAGTGCGTCTCATTGTTACCTTCAGTGTCACTTAAATTGCGGAAAAAAGATCACTGTGTAAATAAATTCTGGACCAGCGGGTTGTGGATTTGAATCTCGGGGCAGTTGCTGCTGTCATGCTCTCAAACTAGGTACTTCACTCATTCCGTCTGTTTTTGCTTGATTTATTTGCATGAAGGATAAAAAAGTGCTACTTAAATCTAAATTAATTAATTATGTTTCTTCGTCTTTTCCTTGGATGAAGTTGGATATTGAGTAAAAAGTGACACCTTCCAGCCAGTTCCAGTATTACTAGTTTGGAACACAAACTAGGCTTCGAATTTGTGTGGAAATTAAAGGTCTGTGTTACAATAACGTTTTCAAAATTGCCAAAATATCACTTAGTTGTATTTTATAAAATTACAAACTGTTAGAAAACCACAATCAAATTTTAGGTTCTTAAGGAGTTAACAATTTCATGTTTTTTCCAGAAATGATTAAATGAACATCTAAAGAACCTAAACGTTTTCAAAATAATCTCAAAGACTCTTAAACAAGCTCCTATATATGAACTTTCAACAGCATCTTAAGTCACAGGCTGATAGTGTTAGTCATGGTCACTTGTCACTTTTTTTACTTTAGGTTGATGGGTCAGATCTCGAAGGCAAAACAAAAAAGCAAAGAACAGCATTTCTTATCTGGGTGGACCTGATGAATCCAAGTTAATTTTCCATCTCATTTTTTCGAATATGAGATGTTTGGGCAGCAAAATACTTTTTTCTAGCTGAAATTTAGCAAACATTAAAAAGCATTTAGACTTTGAAGACAAAAATATAAAGAATGTTAATGCTGCATATACTGTCCAGAACCCCAAGCCTTATCATAAATAAAAGTATTGGGGAAAAATATGCAAAATATGGAACTTGTATTTATATAAAGCTTTTCCTAGATACTTTTTACACGTGCCTGTGTCTTCAGTTTATCTGATGCTAACATACAGTTATACTGTATAAATATGCTGCTATAAGAATGTCTGTTGCTGTCAGAATATAGTTTTAGTTTACAGTTCTCACTTAAAAGTGACCTATTAACATTTATCTCACCCCACATTCATGCATATTATGAGATATTTTCTTCAGTCTGTTGCATCATTACATTGTTTCATGAACAACATTACAATACTGGATATATAAATGTATATGAACAGAGTTCATACAAAAGACATAGAGCTGAAAGTAAAACCTAAATAAACAAAAACATTTCTATGAGTGAGTTCTAAATAGTCTGAAAACTAGTGGAGAATATACCAAAAATGAATTTCAAACAGTTTAAATAACCTAACAAATGTAATTTTAATATATTTCAAAGTATTCAATAGATACTTACTTTCCTTGTAAAGATGGGGTTCTTTTCTGCCCTGTCTTTCAGAAATACTCTGTTGCAGGTAGGAATTTACAATGCAAAAGCAGGATGGTTTACAAGCAGGAGCATGTTATGTCCTGTTCCTGCCCTTGCAGATATGTAAAACATGTAAAACTAGGAATGTGTTATAAAATTAAACTATTTTTTTATATATTATTTCCTTTGGGCCATAGTTGAAAGCTGCTGCAGAAATGTGCATATGTAAGACTAGTTTTCACATGTGCGCAGTTTGTACCCGTTTCATGTTGAAGGATAAACTTTTGGACTTCTACAAAAAGTCAGTTATAAAGACTGCAGCTTTGTATGTTTAATTAGGAGCTGCATAAGTACTTATAATCCATTCCTAATTTCATGTTGTATCACCACCTTTAGATGGTTAATGCCATTATGGTCTTTCCAAGGTCATTGATGGATATTTCCAAGACTGAACAATGTGCTGCAGTCACATCATGTGTTTTGTGAAGGGTGCAATGAATAAGCAATGCCAAGGATGCATGCTTGCTGTGTTATTTGAACCCCTCACCCATTCACAGAGACAACGGACCAGGGAGGTTCAGTGTGGCGACGAATAGATCAAAGATGTCCCCAGGCCTGAATAACACTTGGACCACTGCAAACATTTCAGGAACAGTTGGTTCTCTGGGATACATAGTTAATGTGATCACTGGATCAAGGCTTTGAAAGTTCAGAAGAAATTGGGTGGTCACTTAGAAGTATTGGACCCATTACCCATTACCCATTACTTGTGGATATGTTGATTGATGCCCCTGTAACCTTGGCTTCCAAGATTGCCACCAAAGTATGGCAGAAAAAGAGTTTGTCATCATTTTATCAGTCAAGAGACGTGTCCATCACTAGTAACTTGAGATGAAGACTGAATCAATGCAATTACAAAACTTGTGTTGTTCATATGGCCATAAAAGCATTAGGGAAAAGTGCTGGAAGATGATGATGTGTTGATTTTGCTGTTCTGTACCAAGTGAAGCAGTTTGCAAAGCCAGTGGATAAAGCTCTGTGAATCAGATGTGAGATTTAAGCCTAGGTTCTGTTGCTAGCCAGATGTGACCAGGATTTCCCAAGTGGTGTATCACTCTTAGCTAAGCACTTCTTGAAATATGTTTGGGATTAGTCATTAGTCTTGGCCTTGGAAGGTTGAGTCTAAGATTTGAAAGTTAGAGAATTGCATACGGTAAGTTACCATGTTATTTTCACAGTATAATCCATTTTACTGAGCAAATGTAAAACACATTTGGTGATTGCTTTCTTAAATTTTTAAATGGCATTTTGTTTGCCATATAGCATCCATTTTGCAAAGCATTTCTACTGGAGGAATCATGTTTACTTTAAAGTATAAAGGAAAAATAAAGTCAAGAAATTATATTTTCTTGTTGAATATCCTTTTTGAACACCCTTCAGTGTGACAGCTCAAGTTCAATATGATGTGACTTTGAAAACCATTCTCATGGTGGATAAGTAGTGCTGGCATTTGAAAGTTTAACCTCCATATATAACTACAATCCCATGTTATCTTGACAGGTATTCACAGTTTTATACAGAGGATGAGTTCTGCCATTACAACATGTTCAATCATCACTTTTTTAATGGAAAGGTAAGAAAATGTGACTTTTTTCATAGCTTAATACTAGAAGTATTGTTTGGTAGACTAGTAGGTGGCACCCTTGCCTCCAGATAAGAATTGCCAACCTGTGCTCCAATACAGCAAGCAGGGGTATAAGGCATAAAAGGTGTTTAACTGACTGACTACTTTCTTATTAAAGATCTCATGTGCCCATTTGTAACCATAGGAATGTTCGCCTCCATGTTCTGACTGAATTCCTCTTTGGACTTGCGTGAACCTGCCTTGCTAAAGTTCCTCCCTAATTCAGTTGATGAAGCAATCTCTCATGTCTGTACCCGATATGCTGCACAGTGAGGTTTTTGCTACATGAATGGCACTGCACTTTGGTGATAAATTAAGGTCTTTGGGGCCCTTTGGGATGATAATATAAATGCAATGCAATATTTCTGCTATACAAATACAATGCATTATTCTTATTGCTATAGTTAATATTTGTTCTAAATATGTACTTTATAACAATATCAAATTTGTCTTTCTGTATGGCCTTCAGTTCACTGTTTTCTCAACAGTGCCTCAGTTTTGAAGTTTGATGACTGACTTCTAAGGGGTTGTGGTTTGATTGCAGTTTTATCCGTGTATCTCATATAGGAAGCTTGTTTTGCAGGCAGCAGAGGATGTTTTCAATTCCTTTTTGAGTGAAGGGGACGGAGCTAAGGTTGTCATGGTTGCCGACCCACCATTTGGAGGCCTGGTAAAGCCTTTGGCTTACAGTTTTGCCCTTATCTCCTCTAAATGGAAAACTCTGCAGCCCCCAGGTAAGTGTTGCGTCAACAGCAAAATTTACTTAAGCATTAGGATGCCTTGTGCAGAAGTGGAACTGTTTGGAATTAAAACTGGCCTTGACTGTTTTGTGAAGATTGAACTTCCTCAGGTAGTGAGATAAATGTTGTAAATAGTGCTCATCTCACAGATCAGATACTTAGCCATGTAAAGTCTGCTGGAGCAGTTTTGTTAGAGCTACAGCTTGGCCAACCCTATTGGAGAGCCTTTAATAAGCTGTGAAGAATGTCTTATGGACTGTGAAAAATTTCTCTTTAAACCTCCAGCAGTAACAGAGCAGTAGTTTTAAAGACCAAAACACTTTGTTCTTGTACACCTACAACTAAACTTGTCTTTGCATGTGTAGATAAGAGAAGCCAAGAGATGCCCATGTTCTGGATATTTCCTTATTTCTTTGAGTCTCGCATCCTTGAATGTTTTCCAACATTTTCTATGCTGGACTATCAGGTATTTGAAATATTATTAATTAACATTAATAATGTAGTTTAAAGATGAATTAAAATTAAAATTAAGGTTTAAGGAAATCAAGATTTTAATAAATTACTTTAAAATGAGGTTTAATTTGCATTTATTAAACCTACTTTGCTATAAGAGTCCATTTAACATAATAGTTTCATAAGCAAGTTTAAGTTCACGTTTATTGTCATTATACTCATATACAGGTATATGGTGTAACGAAATGCTATTTAGCTAGCTCTCAGACAATAAGAAGTACAAAAAACAATACAATTATATAGTAAAAGAAAGACCGAGACAACAGGCAGTGTGCAAAACAACAACAGGTAACAGGTAATGTGCAAAACAACATCAGATGTGCAAAATCGTACATCAACAGAATGAAATGGAGGATAGAAAATTATGGGGAGTGAGCTTCTTGACTTGTGAGGCAAAGGTAGATTTCAATGTGTGTTTGAGTTTTTGGTAATAAAAAAGAAGGCACTGAAGTTCAGATCGTAGGTGAGAGAGGCTGGGAGTTTAATAGTTTGATAGTGTGGGGGTAAAAACTAAGCAATATAGTGAGATGTGTTTCTTGTAGTTGAACTGCTTCAAATTGTAATACAAATAAGTTTTTTATTTTTATTTATAAATGTATAATTACAGCAGCATGTATTTTTTTTCTATTGATGTCAGAGGTTTAAGAGTGTTTTGTTTTGGTTGATGGTTCAAGCTGCAGATTCTAGTCATCTTGAGGGATTGTTTGCTGTTTCTCTCTGCTTGTCCCATTTAAATGCTCCTATAGTGTAGTAATACCTTTTGCTGTTTTGTCAGTCTGTTAGGGAAGGGAAATCATTGCTTATGAAGCCCATTGGACTGTTATCCAAATCAGTTTTTGCCTGATTTCTTCTGTTGCTCCCACACATAGAACTGGTTCTGGGTTTTACCTTTGTGTGAGGAAAACATGCATCCCAGGAATTTGACCTGATATTTTTTTTTGTTTGTCAGGTGGACTATGACAATCACCCTCTTTATAAGCATGGGAAGACTGGTCGGAGGCAGTCTCCAGTTAGGATGTTCACTAACCTCTGTCCCAAGCTTATGGCTCTTCCTGCAGAGGAGGGCTACAGGTAAAACAAGAAAGGACGTCTTAAGATCTGTCTGAAAAAAAGCTCAATTACTGCTTACAAAATGTTTAAAATACAGAATACTAAAATACAAAATGTGTTTGACAGGAGTTTAAAGTGTTTTCTCCTCCCTTTCATAATGCTAAATGAAACATATTTAAAATGATCTGAAAAACTCCTGTTCCTTTAATTCGTACATACCGACCGTTACAAACTTTTTAAAGTAAGGAAAGAAGAAAAAGCTCTCGCACTGAATGCAATTTGTGTATTTGGCTGGCTAACACTATTTTAAAAACATTTTGCTTTCAGATTCTGTTCCCTTTGCCAACGATATGTTTCTTCAGAAAACAAACACTGCCTCACTTGCAATGCATGTACATCCAAGGTAGTGTTTCTACTAATCGTCTTGAGTTTTGTTATTTTGACCATAAATTAGCCTCACTAATTATACTGGTAAAGAAACTGTTTATAGTAAGTACTGATCTATAGAATGATTACTAAGTAAATTATATCTGAATTTTTAATGCTGATGTGGTAAAGTTTCTAGTCAACAAGTGGTTCATTTTACGTCAAATTAAACAGCTTCCTGCTTTGGTATTTTAATTTTGCTGTTATTGTGTGTAATTGAAGATAAAATATCAGTTATGAAACAAGACCAGATGTTTAAGGTTGAAGACTATGATTTTCTGAGACGGACCACCACCCTTTTGTGGAGGGGTCATACTTAAAATGTCTCCTTTACCAATTAATTCAGGAGGTGGACAGTTTTCCGATACTAAGCTTCACCCAGATGACTTTATGAATTTAATTTTCAGATCTTCAAAATCAGCTTTTGCTTAGAGGAGTGATATACTGTTTTATCTGTGACTGTAGACCATCGAAACATTACCTTTATGAAATGATGGGTTGGCTTTGCTTGTTAAATTTAAGATGTGATTCACAGCCACTGTAGGTTTTTATTAAGAAGATAGGAAACAGTGATCCATATTGCAGAATTAGGCTCGAAATGTATTTAACTTTAGTATTGATGGAAATAAGTAGTTTTGCTCTGCCTTTTTTCAGGATGGCAGGAGTTGGAAACATTGCTCGTTGTGCAACAAGTGTGTGAAGCCTTGTAAGTATAGTACTGAATTATAGAGCAAGATGCTAAAATACATTTTCCAAACATGACTGTTTAATTCCCATCTTTTCCTGTGTCAAAAGATGTTTTTCAGAATGTGTTTTTTAATACTTCAGGCTGTTCCACTGTTTTTAAATCATCTAAATTTAAGTTTGATATGTACAAATTTGAAGCTTGCATGCTATTATTAATCTTCCTACACTTTTCTCTGGGTTAGATGTATTTGAGCTGAATCTGTCTGCCAACAACCTACTTGTCATGTCTTAAAACAGACTGCATGTTAATTTTGTTTTCTCTGACCTGAAATTAATTTTCTTTAATTGGATGCTCCACATTTTTTTTCCTGGATATGTTTTGGATTTCCGACAGTATAGCGGTTCATTTTTCAGCCTTACTGATTTGCACTGAAATCGACCCGGAGTGTAGAATTAAGGATATTGGTACAAACATAATCTTTGCATCTTGCAGTTAAGATGTTGTATTGATATTGTGAGAATGTGAAGTTGGTCTTATTGCACAATCTTTTTCAAATTTTGAATAATACTATTAACAAAATCCATCTGGAACCATAACAAAAAAGACTTGTATAACATATATCTGTGTTTTATATCAGTCCAATTTCAAGTAACTAAATTAATAAATGAATGGTATATTCTTCCTGGAAGAAATTATTATTGAAATCATTTTACTTAGTTCAATGAAGCGAAAATAAAGTACTTCTTCAGTATTACTTGCTTATATACATGTATGAAGCTGATGAGGATACTAATGTACCTTTTTGACAGCCTTGTAATCTGATTATTTCAGTGCAGAGATTGTCTACTTAAGATTCTCTAGAAAATATTCTTGAAAAAAATTGGATTGTGAATGGCTTCGGTAATGTGTAAATATCTTTTTATTTTCCCCAGCCTGGGTTCATTGTACCATCTGTAATCAGTGCGCTCTTAAGGATCACCCTTGTGGGAAGCTCACTGTTGGCTGCTTTATCTGTAAAGGCGCTGACCACAAGCGCAGAGCCTGTCCTAAAGCATTCAGCTCCAAAGACACCAGACTGTAAGTAAATGATATCAAATGGCTAGAGTGAAATTTAATTTACACCCCAACATTTTAATTTATCAATGTGTGTATGGTGGATGGCACATAATGTTGCACATTTAGTGTTTCAAAACGTGTTGTTTCAGGAAGGTTTCTACTTTTAAAAGTATAGATCATTCAGGTTTTGGAATACCATGAAGGACAGCCATCATATTTTCTTAAAATATATATAGTGTTCTAAAAAGGACAGGAAATCATATTTTTTTTAATCTTTTATTGTAATTAAATACACCAGTAATTAAAACTAAAAGTGTTGTAAGGAGGCTAGATCCTGTACCCTGGTAGTTTCATCTCTCGGTATCTTTCTGGACGTGAGAATTCAGCATTCCTCTAGATGTGTGTTTTTTGGCAGAGGTTACATTTTTAAGTGTTCGAAAAATCAGTTCAGATAAGTGAACCATAAATTTAAAGGTCCTTATACACTTCTACTCCCACATGCGAAGAAATAAATGACATTCAGAATGTGAACCTTTAAAATATTGTTTTCAACTAAAGCTTGTATTTGTGTAATATGAGCTTTAAACGTATGTGTCTGAGAATTGCCTGAGCAGCCTTTTGCAAAGGCAAAGCTCTCATTTTTTACCCTCAGGGTGGATGTTGGATTCTCATTTTTCACCCTCAGGGTGAATGTTGGGTGACCGTGTAAACGCAATCCCATCAGCAGCTTTGCTGGTCTCATTTTGTTCTTTCCTGCACAGGGGAAAACAGGCTGCTGGGAAGAAGGCTAAAGTTGGGGCAGAAAAGGATGTGCCTTGTAAACAAACAGCGGGAGAGAAAAGGGCTGCTGGGATAAGACTGAAGAAGAGGAGGAAGAAGAAGAGGAAAATAGCATGATTATTCTTCTTTTCTCTGTGAGCGAACTCACTTAAAGAAGTAGAAGGGAATTGTCTCACGGGCAGTTTAGTAAAATGTTTTTAAAGAACAGGTGAAGAGGACTGGCTTTTCATTTTTTTTTAATTCAGTATATTTAAAAAAAAACAGTGTCAAAAATAACATATCTGAACAACCTACATGCTGTACAAAATTCTTTAACAGAAAATATGGTAGCTTCAGCACGGGTAATGAAGAGCAGTAGTTTCAGCCATTGGTTTGACTCTCTCACATCTTGGTCTCGTAAAATTGTAGCTGTTTGACTTAACTATTTGCGTATTAACAATACACTGAGAAAATGGAACAGCTTTATATGTTTCTCTATTGAATATTTAATTGTGATTTTAATGCATTTTTCAATTTTTCTTTAAAACTTCATTAGTCCACTTATAAATCCAAATATTTTCTAGTTTTCATCACTCTAAAGACCTCTACCTGCACTAGTTACAAGTGCAAATCCGAATGTACTGTGAAGAAAACAATAGCACATACAGTACAGTACATGTGATCTTCAGGTAGTGTAATTTGAAATCAGGGCTGCAAGCTTGGTACAGTCTGTTTCATTGCAGGGTGGAGAGAGTCCTGACCAGTATGCTTAATGTATTTTTCGGGAGCATGCATTGAGTACAGACATCATTCACAAAAAAGGATACAGAGAAATGTTGTATTTGTAATTGGAAACCCTAAGTGCGATCACAGAAGGCATAACATGGAAATATTAGTGATGGAGCAAAATACTGGTCCAAAAGAACAAAATGAAGTCCAAAATAAAGAAAATATTAGAGACAATAGGGATGTATGAGAAGACTGTTCCATTTCTTTCCAGACTTTATTCAGAGACACTGCACATTCATTCATTAGTCACTTTTGAACTGGTATTTGGGAAAATTTAGTATTTAACAAGTGAGGTTCAGGACTTAAGAGACTTTTCTTAGCATTGTAACTTTTAAAAATGAGACCAGTTAAATTAATCTTGGCAGGAAATGTCCAGGTTCTACCTGCAAACAAAATGTACAGTATTGTTGATGTTTCTTGTCTTCTATACTTTCTGCCGTTTACTTTTTGGACTGTTTTTCTTTATCACTAGGGGGAGTAGTGGCACACAGCAGAGAAGTGCACAAGCTCTCCTCCTGTACTTTTTATTTTTATCAGTTTTGTAACTCTTATAGTATCTTGTATGTTATCTTCTTGTATTCTTTAAAAAGTTCAAATATTGCCTGACAACACTAGTCACTTTATCACTGGACAAATGTAAATGGGTACCAGGTACTGTTTTTTTTTTTTTGCTGTCCTTTGTGTATCACTTTTATGCTATTTTTATGTACAGGATGGAGTCAAAGCAGTACTTGACGCAGTCAACTTTTAATAGGACCTTGTAGACTATAAAAAGTTCAGTAATAAATTAAATAATTAAATTTCAAGCAAAATCAAAACTCTAGATGATTCATGTGTAGTCTCAGCCATCAGTAAGGGACGTAATTCAGTCATCAACAGTTTCTTTTGTATGTACAGCAGGCAGATGTAATTGACTTCAGTCAGTTCAGTAGCTTGTTGGGCACACAATTTTATTTACCTTAAGTTTACATTCACATTTTAATTGTGAGAAGATGATTATGTTAATTAAGTAGTATTGTTCCTTGGGATAACAGAATTTGATTTGATTTCCTAAGCACCGGGTTCTCGACAAGGTGTTTGTGTTAAGTTATAATTACCAGATTGAGGTGATTATCTGTATCAATAGCCATGAATCTTAGATGTTTTTTAAACTCCATTTCATCATGCATGGGCTACTGTTGGGGTCTATTTGATGTGAAAAGGACCAAGTTTGTTCTTATGCAGAGATTAATGTCTTCAGTGAAAACATTCACTCAGTTCTGTTTTAACAGCTTAGCTGAGTAATCAAGCCAGGTTCAAAAGCACTCATTGGACATGTGCTTACAAGTTTTGTATCCATTATATTCAGTTATACTCAAATTTATAGTAAAACAATGAAAACATTCTTGGGGCCATGGAAAAACTCCACCACAGCAGCGAAACACTCAAAAAATCACGCTTTTAATTAAAAATATGTGTGCTTCTTGCTGTTTTTCTTCCTTGGCTAGAAAGGACTATTTTGATACTCCCATGGGATTTAGCTTTGAAATGCAGAATACATTCAAATCTAAATTTAGCAGTATGCGGTTATTTAACTGAATTAATGAAATTAATTCTTTGAAATAAGATGTTTGAGGGCTGCCGTCTGGTTCCTGGTCTGCCTGTTTCAAGGTGTGCGTTTCCTTTCACACATCAAAAACTCAGCTGTTGCTTCAGTTTGAAAAAGGAGACCGAATTTGAGCCAAGATGAAAGCTTCTGACAGCTGAGCAGCTGTCACTCCTATGACCTATCGACTGGACCTCCTGTTGTTGGCTCCTTTCATTCTATAAATTTAACATCCTTCACAGCTAATTAGGAGCAGCAGAGGATGATATTCTGAATATTTTATGTTTTCGTGCTATTTAATTTCCTGATGCTTTTATTCAAGGCTGTTATTTGTACAGTGGCTGAATCGAACATCTAAGACAAATCCTTTGCAATTTCAAAAACATCTGTTTTCATCTCTGCTTCAGCTTGATCTCCTGGACACTGTGAGTAAAAGGTGAAATGATAATTTTAGCACCATTGTGCTAATCTCATCAAAAGCACTCTGTGAGTGCAGCTTTCCATTTTTTAATGGACATTAAAATGAACATTCTAATTTATATTTGTTTTGTGCTTCATTTTAAATAGCTTGAGCAATGGTTCTGCTGTTCAGTTTTGAACACTTCGGGTTATTTTTCTTGCCTTTTTCTTAAAACCTGCTTGTTAACGACTTCAGTACAGGTCACTGAAGGGTGTCTCAAAGCAATGATCAGATCCAGGTCCAAGTTCTTAATCCGGCCCTAATGAACAGTGTCTTTATCACTTCTTCTGGCGGTCTATTTAAATGCACATAACTAGCCATAACCTAGATTAAGCAGCACCAGAGCAGTTGCTGGGGTGGTGTGAGGTTTAGTTGACGAGGGTCCTTTGGCTTTTGAGGCACCAGCAATACTTGGGACCACCCAGTTGCCTCCTGGTAAGGTTGCAGTGATGTCAGTGAGAGATGCCGCTCCTCCAATTGATATTAGATAGGGAGGAGTTTGCAGCCTATCAAAAGTCAGAAGTTCTGATATTGGGTATGTCAATGGAGTAGGTCCACAAGTCCTTTTCTCTATGCAGTAGGGGGGTTATAGCCATTGTAAGAGTACAGTAGGTTCAGACAAGGCGAAGGTAGATATTTAACTTTTTTAACCCTTAAATGTCTTCATTTTGAGCGTTAACAGTTTTTAATCAAACGTTCACGTTCAAAACAGTGTGTACATCATTTGTGGTGCCACACAATGGGACATTGTTAGAAGGAGTAAATATCTCAGCATTTTATACATATAGAACAAGTTCCGAAAGACACATTGCAAAGGTTTTAGTTTAGACCATAAAATGTTATATGCTGAAAGTGCCGAAAATCCTGGGTGAAAAATAGCGTTTTTTTTTCAAATGGATTTCCATGAGAAATTGGTTTAAGATTTTGTATTCTGTTCCTCATTTGAATTTATGTTTAAGATATGACAGCATTGTTCTTTGTTATTGACAGTGTTATTCTTTGTTGCAGCAAAGTGTTAGTGTAATCTATTAGAAGTCAAACTTTTACACAGAGTCCTTGTGTATATGATGTAGGAAGATCTGCACAGGAACCTCTTCAACTCTCTTATTCCTCGGTGCAGCGCATCAATCGTCAGTCAACCTAATTGTAAACAAGCTGCGGTTTCACATACTTTTCTAGGTAAACAGATTTTTTTTATAACACATGAACTTGCTCATTAAAGCAGCACTGTATCTTTTTTGCAAGCCAAAGAAATGCACCTTAGTGTTAAAAAATGTAAAATATTTGGATTAAAAAAAACTTGTGCTTGCAGAGAGACTATTGTGTTTCAGCAGTTACAGAATTAGGGCACCCGAGCAACACATTTTCCCTGGATCTTTCAAGTAAACATTGAATGATCCAGAATCAAATCTCAGAGTGAACTCGTTTTATATTACTCTCTAAAGATATGTTGGCACAAAGTAGAAAATGCTTTCTGGGCTGATAGGTCTATTACAGGAACTGACGTGTTTATAACTGAGACTCCTATGCTGTGATACGGAAAGCAATTCTTATTTTGTTATATCTTATATTTTAATGTAGACTAAAAAACTGCAAGATATAATTGAATATAATTTGACTAGTTAGACTGACACATTATAAGTTCCATTCTAAAACATTAACGCTCTACCTGCATGTTAGTCAATGATCCATGACATTCAATTGTTTTTCTGAAGTCAAATGGGAACAACTGTTGCAAACATTAATCAACATGTTGGGTTAATCCTGCACCTTCATTGAAGAAGAGCAACAATCCTCAACATTTTAGGAAAACATCCCAGCTCTATATTAGTTATCTTCACTCTGTCATCTTCATGTGTGCATTGTATATTAAATTAAAAAGGCTTTACATTAGAAAACATATTACTTTTATCATTGAGGAAATTTGTTGTTTTTTCACTACCTTTCAACACGCTTACTGATTTACCTAAAACTGCAATTTTATATTTATGAAACATAGTTTTCATGCACTATAAGCAAATTCAAAACTGTTCTAATAATTGACTGGATTACGGATTACATTACGGATTTCTTCTCTTCAAATGCAAAATGAGGGCCCAGTTGAGTAAAGCTACAGTAATTTATGTTTGCCCACCCTTGATTGCCAGAGCCGTGTTAGCTCAGATGGCGAGGGCGTCTAGCTCCTGACTGGAAGGTCCCGGGTTCAATCCCAGGTAGGGGCAAGCGATGGAGCTCTATTTCCTTCCAGACAGCTCCCAGGTCCGCTCAGCCTGCTTTCCAAATGAATATCAGGTGTTAATCCCTCCTGGGTTAATAGGCCGGCCGGAGCGTGATGCTGAATACATTACCTCCACTTCCAGTGTAGGATGGTCAAGAGAAAGTGGTGGCCCTTGCCCCCGATCTCCCATGGGCCTTTATGGCCTGAAAAGGGACCTAGTTACCTATGAGGGACATAGAGCTTAAAGTGAATATACATCCTTGGGATTTTTTAATGATTTTTTAGTGCACAGAGAGACAGGCTTGTAGTTGTTGGTTAGTGGCACAGTTATTTCTGGATCACTGACTACATCTGTACAGTATGTGTATTATTAGTCCTAGATTGATTAGTTGTCATATTCACTGAAGCCATGTTCCTTTATGCCTTCTGTAAAATCAAAGTTGTCAAGCAGATGTTTAATATTTCATTGATATCTCTAGGAGCATGGTGGTAAAAGGTACAGTTTGACATGCTCTCTCTGCTATTTCTGTGCCATACCAAGAAAATACAGTCAATAAAAGAAGCATTCACAAAATTACCTTAAGGGATTTATGTTGAGATAGAACAGTGTGGAGTGACTATTGACATCTATCTGTTTTCTATCCGTTTTATCCAATTCATGGTCAGGAGAGAGCTGGAGTCTTTCCTGGCAAGCAATAAGCTTAAGATAGCATAGGATAACATGCTCCCTGGATGGGATGCCAGTCCATCACAGGGCAAACGTTCATATAAGGTCTTATTTCCCAGAAGCCCATTAATCTACCAGTATGTCTTTGGACTGAGGGAGGAAGCTGGAGCACCAGGAGGAAACGTACTCAAAGGGGAGATCTTAGAAATGCCATGCAGATAGCACCCCAGTAATTGAAACTAGGGCCCCAGCACTGTGAGGTAGTAATGCTAAATACTGTGCAACCATTCCTGTCCAACATATACATTATTTGTGAAAAGTATAAACAAAAACTGCTTTGAAGTTTT